CATGAATGAGGAAATGCGATGCAACCAGTCACAGTTGTCGCCAGGAGATGTAGTTACATTTCTGGAGAGATGCATGTCAGGCTATGGCATAGGCTATAGGGTACAGGGCTACGCATCACCTACATCATAGCTATGGCGTAATTAACGCAGAACCACACTCTGAACTCCTTAGCAACCAATCACCATGCACTAAATCACTATAGAAACCACACTATTCATTTCCCCAACAGCATAGATATAATGAACCAGCCCTGGAAAACACTATAACATTGTCTTAGCACCAAATATCACCACCTTTCTGATCACTCATACCACCATAGAATCTACATGGTGTTGGCTTAGCAACCACCTGGAGCACCACAACAACTACTTCTATACATCCTAAGCACCCAAGTGTGTGTTACTGGATTTCATCTGTCCAAAATAATGAAGTTTAGTGAACTAAAATCTCCAAGAGGAATGTTGCATTCTACAACATCACATGAATTAGAACTTGATTACTGCTGTTCTGAATAATGTAATGACACATGACCCAACTACAGTAAATGCTACTGTACCATATGTGGCAAATGAAAGAAGAGCACATTGCAGTGTCATGTGATATACCACACACAGCAAGCTTTGAAGACTGAAAAGAAAGGACTGTTTCCAAGTTCTATAAAGGGTTAATAGATGCCATATCATCACTGCAGGTCATCTATGTCATGAGGAACCCCAAAGATGTGTTTACATCTGCCTTTCACTATTATGGGATCACCTCATTCCTGGTGAAACCAGGCCCACAGAATGAGTTCCTCCACAAGTTTCTTGACGGAAAAGGTTGTTTTTTTTTGTTTGTTTCACCTATGCAATGTACAGTAATTATTCATAATGCAACTCACAATATAGTAAAGGACAGGGATGATAATTATGAGAACTTATAATGTCTTCATGGTAATGAAACTTAATTTTCTTCTAGTTATTTTTGGCTCATGGTTTGATCATGTAAAGGGCTGGCTGAATGCTGAAGATAAAGAGCGCATAATGCACATCTCCTATGAAGAAATGATCATGGTAAGATTTAGCAATAATCACCAAAACCACCTACTAAAGGAACTTTGAAACATTTTTCTGATCGACTCTGATCTCACAGGGATCCAGCCATATAGTGAAAATCACTGTAGGAATATGAGCTGAGCTGTGCTACTCTGTGATGCAGGGCCTCAAGGACTCTGTGGCCAGAATCGCTCAGTTCTTGGAGAAACCTCTGGACGCTGAGGTGATAGAGGAGATAGCAGACAGATGTTTGTTCAAGAACATGAAGCAGAACAACATGTCCAACTATTCTGCAGTTCCTCATGAATTCATGGACCAGACAAAGTCTGA